CCGCGTGCCTGGAAAATAATTTAGATAATGGTTTGGTCGTATTTTAGATCCATAGTTTTATTCTCCGTATGCAAAAGAGTAGGTACCTAACGTACCCCTATGGGACGAGACGACACGAACTGTGTGCACTCTCCGGTTCCATTGGCTGGCGGACTGATTCTCGGAACCTACGCAACCCCGTGTGCAGAACGTGAGGCCAAAGTACCTTTATGCCTTTATCGTGCCTCAATATGTATACAGAAAAAAAAAACCCTGAGAGGGCAACGGCGGCAACCAACTGTCGTATAAATTTTGCCTCTCCAAACAGCACGCATGCTAATGATGATCTCGGCGGTTGAGTCTGGGTTTCAGAATCGCCATGGGTACCGCGGATGATGACGAATCTCGCCGCTGCCGTTCCGTTGCCATATGGACAAGTGCCTGTTTACGCTGCAGGGCTGTAGTAAGGAGGCTACTTACATCTCGTGGAGTTCCTTCCGTCAGTCTCACATGCACCTGAGGGAGAAAAAAAAATGCACGGCCAGATGGCTTACGCTGCTGCCGCTGGACGCAAGGATTTGAAATTACGCTTATCTCCCCCAGCAGCAACCGTTTTATGAAGCCCGACGTGCGTCTAGTACTGTGTACATCTACGTACCTACATTTTCCATAATGCGAGGAGGCGAGCGCACCTTTGCATCTAATGCAAAAAGCATAAATCTGACGTTTTTGAACGATGTCCCCCTCTCTCAACCCACCACCCTTCTCATCTAGCAGGTCGAGATGGGTCGAGATTAAATTCGAATTTGTGAATTTCCATCCATGATGATGACCGCATCCAGCCCCAGCCAACGCAGCCAGCCAGCCAGCAGATCTTTAATGGAATTCAATTAAACGTCTTTTCCGTCTAATAGCCGACTGACCGACGGACGGCCCAATAAAGACACCGACCGGGACACTATGCAGCAAGTGTATGTCGTACTCGATGATGCCGTGTTCCTCCTCTGGCCGGAGTCTTCTGGTCGTACCAGACGGGTGGAGGACCGACCGACACATGGTCAGGTGTTTGTGCCAAGCAACGCATGTAGAATCTCGGCTCGGTTCGTCGCCGGCAATGGGTCATTGGTCGGGTTCAGTTGGACAGCTGGTCGGATAAGTGGATTTTGGATGGGATTTTAGGTCAATTAGTTATTTCGAGCTTTGTGAGTTGCGTGGAAGTGGCGGACGTTGAGTGGGAGGTGATTTGGTACAAGTGGGAACGATGCGCTGTTATGGGCCGTGATTCACAAATGGGTGTCGGTGTTACATTTTTCAGTTAGTCATTTGTTTTATTAAATTGAAGTTATAGATTATTCATTGTGGAACTAACAATCCTAAGGCAGTGTAAGAAGGGTAATGAATAACAATCTCAATTTACTCAATTTACGAAACTGATAGCTTCAAATTTTTCAGATCTGGCTCCGATGGATTATCAGATTTGTTCATATGAAAACGCGAATAGGTGAAGTAGAGAAGCCTTCGCTAAACGATGTTCTTAACCCTCCAGCGCTTATAAAGGGTGTTCACGATGAAATTGCCACACTATGAAATTGCTCTAACCTTTTAACCGTTGGGTAGAATTTAATGAAAATTTGGGTGGATTTAGTTCATAGTGCATTATTTACATCCTGCAAGTTTTAAAGTCCTTTGATCAAAACTCGCGGAAATGGAGTCGAAAGAACAGCTCGTGCGTGATAAAATCTTGCGCATTCATCACGAGAACAAGGATCCCTCGCATCGTTCCATCGCTAAAACGTTGGGAATCGCGAATTCCACGGTGTCGCGAGTGATTCGCGGTTCGAGGAACGGTTGACCACCGATCGGAAGCCCAGAAGTGAAGGAAAAAGTATTCCGTACAACACCAAAAATCACAACCGCGTAGTTGGGGCCTTCAACCGAAATCCGAACGCCTCCGTTAGGGATGTGGCTAAGAAGCTGCACCTAAGCCGAAGTTTTGTCCAGAAGGCCAAAACTAAGGCTGGGCTTCGAACGTTCAAGGTACAAAAGGCCTCTAATCGCGACGAGAAGCAGAACAAGTCCGCCAAAACCCGTGCCAGGAAGTTGTACCTCAACATGCTGACGAAACTTGAATGCTGCATCATGGACGACGAAACATATGTGAAGGCCGACTTCAAACAGATCCCCGGCAACCTGTTTTTCACGGCCAAGGATAAGTTCAGCGTTCCGGAGCATGTTCGCACTCAGAAGATGTCCAAATTTGCGAAGAAATTCCTGGTTTGGCAAGCCATCTGCACTTGCGGGAAGCGGAGTGCACCTTTCGTGACCCAGGACACGATGAACGGACAGGTGTACATAAAAGAGTGCCTCCAGAAGCGGCTGCTTCCTCTCCTGAAGGCCCAAAACGTCCCAACAATCTTCAGGCCGGATTTGGCCTCATGCCACTACTCCAAGGACGTACTGAAGTGGTATGCGGACAATAAGGTCAATTTTGTGCCGAAAATGTTCAACCCTCCCAACACTCCGGAGCTCCGCCCCATCGAGAAGTACTGGGCGATTATGAAGCAGCACCTTCTTAAACGACCTAAGGTATTGAAGACAGTCGAGGAACTGAAGAAAGTATGGGTTTACATGCAAAAAACGGTTGATTCACAGGTTGTGCAGAATCTTATGGCCGGGGTTAAGGCCAAGGTGCGGGCATTTGCAGTCCATACGTCCATAAATAAAATACGAGTAAAATGGTAAAATGAAGTTTAATAGTTATTTCTCAATCCCTGAAAATTTGATGGCAATCGGATGAAAACTCGAATTTTGCGAATCAATTTTGTGTGTGGCAATTTCATCGTGGACACCCTTTAGTCACCTATACTGCCTATCATGGCATATCAGTCTCATATGGAAAAAATTAGGCATTGAGAAAATGGCAGTTGAAGTTATGAATTCCTATTTCCATGTAAATATTTTAAAAATCATAGTGAGTTAATCGATAATTTTGTCAAGTTAAAATTAATTGCCATGGAGCTCGTATGTTTTGTTATATCAGCGAAATATATGGCGATACAAAAAACAGTACTGTAACTTGACCTCCGGACGATTGAATTTCAGGATGGGAATGATAGGGGAAATGGCTCTAATGTTGGCCTATGGATCTAATATTGGGCCCATCGTTAAAAATCTGCTAATTATCAATTCTAGATGAACATGTCATTGGGAAGGTACTAATGGATATTTTTGGTCGCTATTGAAAATTTAGTCGATTGCTGAATTTATGTATGGGCCCAAATTAGGGGCATTTGGGCGTACATTACATCCATTTCCCTTATGCGATTACTTTGATTGATGGGATAAACTGACTTGATGTAGTTTTCACATTTTTTTTTATGATCAAAGTCCATAGTTTTATCACGTAATATAAAAGTAGATGCCGATTGATGCTGGATAGCGCTATTATCTTAAAATTGATGAAAATCCATGTGGGACTGATATGAGATTATAGGCAGTATATCAGGGTGTCGACTACCTGGAAAAACCTGGAAAGTCAGGGAATGTCAGGGAATTCTATTTATGATCTGGAAAGTCAGGGAATGTCAGGGAATTTTAGTGTAGGTCAGGGAAAAAAATAATGTTGATCACATTGCTAAAAATTATGTGTGGGACACATAAAACAATCTTTGAAATTTTATCAGTGCATGACGTCAACGTTTTTGGGAAGATCCCGGGCATCAGATCTACTCGCTGCGTTTATGGACGCCCTTGCCTGTATCTCTTCGAACAAGTTGCTGCAAGTGTCCATGGATGGGCCCAATGTGAATTGAAGCAAGAGGTACAAAAAGGTGGCGAGAAGCTGATAGATCTGGGAAGCTGTGGGCTGTATATTTTGCATAATGCATTCAAGGATAGTGTTTGCAGTATCAGTTGGGATGTTTTCAAATATTTGCGTGGTATCCAGAATATCTTCAAAGATGTACCCTATCGCATGGCAACGCCTAATGTAATAATGCAGAATATCTTTTTGAAAAAAAAATAGCATCAGCATCAAAATGAAAGCATATTGAAATCCAGTTTTGATATCAACATCAAACTGAAACCCTAATTTGATTTCAGTTTATGCAATTGATAAATTTTGTTTTCATTTTGCTGTACAAAAATATGTTGTTGCGGGTTTGACTTCATTGCCTTAGCATAACATCAAATTGAATACTTGTTTTGTTATCAACATGAAAAATTGATATCAAATTGAGTATTCAGTTTGCTCTCACTGATAGCAGAAATAGTTTTCAATGTGATGTCACAAGAAGATATGTTTGCTATCAATTTTGATATTTTAACCGTTAAAACGACCAAAACGACAGCAACCTGAGTTATCATTATCAGCGAAATCACAACATCAAATTTAGATTGCAATTTGATCTCAGACTTTGCTCGGGCTGTGTCCATGATCGAGGGAAAAAAGTTAAATAATACCACTGAACTGTCCAAAAGTTCATCTAATTGAGGTTAACCACTAACGGTGCAAATCCTGATTGGCGGACAAAAGTTGGCGCTACTTAGTGGCGTAAGATAGAAATTTTGTCATGACGGTGATGGAATTCTTTCAAGGTGAGGTATGGGAGAATAGTTTGAAATCATATAAACAAGATCGACATAACTTCAGAAAGTACTGAATCACTTGAGAATAGTTCGGAATCACTTAAAAAATTACTGAATCACTTAAGGAAATAATTGAATCACTTCATAAAAATACGGAATCTCTTCAGAAAGTACTGAATCATTTCAGAGCGCACTGAATAACTAATGAAAAGTTCGAAATCACTTCAGAATGTACTGAATCATTTCAGAAAAGTTTGGACTTACATCGGAAGTGCTAAATCACTTCAGAAATGTTTTCAATCAATTCGGAAACTACTGAATCATTTAGGAATGTATTGCATCACTTTAGAAATGTTCGAAATCACTTCTGAACGTACTGTATCGATTTAGAACAGTGTGGAATCACTTCAGAAAGTCTTGAATCACTTCAGAAAGTCTTGAATCACTTCATAAATGTTGAGAATCATTTCACAAAGTACTGAATAACTTCAGAAAAGACCCAAAACACTTAATAAATATTCGAAATCACTTTGGAAAGCACTGAATCATTGCGAAAAGTTCACTTTGAAAATAATTGAATCACTTGAGAAATGTTCGGAATCACTTCGGAAAACACCGAATATCTTCAGTAATGTTCGGAATCACTTTGGAAAAGTTCATGATCACTTCGGAAAGTACTGAATTATTTCAGAAAGCACTGAATCACTTCGGAAAGTGTTGAACCACTTTAAGCTCGGAATCTCTTGGGATAGTATTGAATCACTTCAGAAAATTTCGGATTCACATTGGAAAGTACTGAATCATCCCAGAAAGTTTGTAATCATTTCCGCAAGAACCGAATAACTTCGAAAATGATTAAATTAGCTAGGAATGCACAGAATCATTTCAGAAACGTTCAGTCTCACGTCGGAAATACTGAATCGCTTCAGAATGTTCATAATCACTTCGCAAAGCACTAAATGATTTCAGAAAGTACTGAATCACTTCAGAACTGTTTGGAATCGCTCCGAAAAGTACTGAATAATTCCAGATAGTTTGTAATCACTTCCGAAAGTACTGAATCGCTTCAGGAAGAACTGAATCACTTTTGAACAGTTTGAAATCAATTCTGAAAGTCCCAAGTAACAATTTGGGTTTTATTAGGGTACTGTAGACCATGATTTAGACTTGTAGAGTGCTTTAAAACCTCAATAAAACTTACAATGTTACTTGGATAATTAATCACTTCAGAAAAAACTTTGAAATTCTTCGGATAGTATTGAGTGACTTAAGAAAATTTCTGAATCCCTTTGGATAATACTTAATCTTGCCAGAAAGTTTGTAATCGCTTTCGTAAAAACTAAAAAAAAATCCGGAAAGAACTGAACATCTTCACAAAACTTCGGAAAGTACTTTATCAATTCTCTCAAGTTTGCAATCACTTCTTCAAGAGCTGAGATCATTTTGTAATAACTTCAGAAAAGTTTGGAATCCCTTCAGAAAATATTTATTCACTTCAGAAAAATCGGAATAACTTTGGGCATCACAGAATCATTAAAAAAAAGTTCAAAATCTCTTCTGAAAGTACTGAAAAACGATAGAAAATCTCGGAATCAGTTTGAAAAGTGCTGAATTACTGCAGAAAAACTTCAGAAAGTACTGAATCACTTCAAATAGTACAGACATAATTGAGCATGAGAATGATTAACCGCTCGCGGTTCTCAGAGGCGAACCAGCCTTTAGGCTAAAAACCTCTTAAATAAAGAAAAAAAAAAAATCCGCTCGCGGTTGCTACTCCGTTATTGCCAGATCACCTATCAGAGAAGCAAAAAACGATGCGTTGGACGAGCATGCATCTGCAATGTGTAAAAACTGCTGATCTCATACTTTAGGATAGACAATAACAGCGCCGGCCGCTTCATAATGTAGGTCAATTAGACCGTCAAAAACCGAGAGATCCTCCTCACTTCCAGGAATTTTTCAACAGTTTCTCAGCAGGATTTACTTCAGGGAGTATTGATTATTATCGCTAAGCTACTCAATTGTGACACATCGAAAAAGATCTCGACTTTGGCAACATAGATGAAGAACAGCCAACTCTTCACAACTCGATGTCCAGTTACTTGATATACAGTTATATAACCATCATAAAAATGAGTGTCATGGCTACTGAGATAGCGAATTTGTATGAGATTGTTATTCTATAACTCGATAATTCTATAGGTACCTCGAGTCGTAGAGAGTGCACTGTAGTTACGTTTCCAAAAACGAGATCTGTCTATACTGACATTACATTCCATTAGGAAAGTTTAGAATCACTTTGGAAAGTTAAGAATCCCTTCAGAAAGTACTGAATAACTTGAGAAAAGATTAGGATCACTTTGGCAAGTACTGGACCATGTCAGAAAAAAAAGCAGCCAACAGAATAACTTCAAACAGTACTGAACTTTACAAAAGTTTTGAATCACTTCGGAAACATTGGAAGCACTGGATTCATGTATTCAGCTCATAGCATATTTAATAACTTCAGAAGAGCTTGAGTTCAGTAGGGAAAATGTTGAATCGCTTAAAGATAGACTCACTTCCGAAAATGTTAAATTTTCTGGACTGATTTAATACTTTCGGCAGTAATGTCACGAGTTCTTGGGAACGTTTAAAGCAAGAACCTGTTATAAACGTGAAAACGTGGCACTGAAACAGTAAATGTATTGCCTAATAAGGTTCCCAAAGGTAACATCAGTTGTAACAACACAAACATCTCTGGTTCTTATTTCAAAGATTTGCGTAGCGACGATTGATGGTAATGATTTGTAAAACGCCAGAGGTGTTCTGAGTAAAACGTATAAAACAAATCCATATTTATGTATTTTTATTTTTTGTTTTTTTTTTTTGATTTTAACTATCATCATATCCATAATCTTCCCCTTAATTGGCCTAGTACTTGTACTTGTAGTGCCTCGGAGAAACAAAAGTTCGTTGCGCCTTTGCGCAGTTAGCGCAGTAAGGGCTTCTTACTGCGGAGGTTTTGATTTGATAACATACTGATAGTTTTGGAAATTTTGCTTTGCCCACGAATGTTTAGGAAAATTCTAGAAATTGTTCAAGGTTTTTCCTGAAATTAGGAGAAAGTCAAGCAAGATAAATATGAGATAAATTAGAAAACACAAATGATAGTACTGGGAAAATGTTGACGGAACTTTCATAATCGAACTAATCATAATTTCAAGAAGAAAGGGTAAAGGGACTTAACCACCTGTAGAGTACGGTGCTGCTCGATAAAGTGCAAATGTTTTGCAACGTACTATATAAACTAGATAATACACTATGTGAAACAACGCCATCAACGTCGCGGGCGAATGCATCGTTATTTTAGGCAGATTTATATTTTAAGGGCGCCGGTCAATATTGGGTGCGACTACTTAGCTCAAATTTTAGGAACACAGCACTGGGTATAATAAAGCTCATCATGTTGTAGCTTCTTAGGTTAAAATAACGTAGTTTTGTGGACTGGAATTTTTCTGAAATCCGACTGGAAAGTCAGGGAAAGTCAGGGAATTTTGTTTTCAACTTTGAGTCGACACCCTGTATATGTAGGTGCACGGAAACAAATCCGTTACCATTTTCATGAATAAAAAATCATGAAACAAGAAAAATAAATCATCCCATGAAATCATGACAATAATTAATGATTTCATTATGGATACGACGAATATCATGAACAAAAACAAGCGCTTCCATGAACCAAATTCATGGCCGTTAGCAAGCGTTACGCGTACGTACGTGCCTGTCAAGCCGTGTTTATAAAATTTCAACGTCCATTGCGGTCGGTGGTAAAATAGTGGCAGAGAAAATTTTGCACAGGTAATTTATCAATGCACAATTGTCGTCATATAATACTGCAGTGTTATAATGTGGAAAATAGTGAAAATGCATTTAATCAAATTTTGTGCAAAACTCTACCAGAAGCTCAATAAGGAAATAACGCAGTAGGCTCTGCCCGCGAACAGTGAGTTTTGTTTTCCATGGCGCTGATTTCATCTGTTCTTCGCATATTTTTTAATTGTACCAAATCAAACAAATATTAGTTTTCGCAATTTGACAAGAATTTGTTTCGAGTAGCTGTGTTTTCATTTAGCTTATTTTTGGTGCTTTGCCTCCCTCCACAGGAGTGGAACTTCGGATCAGAAAGTGGCTCCACATGTCATTTGCAAACACTAGCGCACCTAGCGGTATAAGGCATCTTCTGCCTGCAGTTAAGATAGGCAGCATGCTATGATAGTGTGAGTGCACATAGAAAGCCCGTGTGGAACGCTACTACACACATCGCTTGTTGAGCAGAAAAACGAACCACTTTTTGATTCACCGATTTGTTTGCACTTCTCCTTATGTTCTGTGCTCCCTCTCAAGAAGAGTTTTACCGGGGTTTTATTTTTATTTTCTTGGTGCTGGCGTTCTGCCTTCCGGAGGATGCACGCGAATTAGATGTCAAGCAAAAATTCGGTGCAAATGAAAAACTTCGAATATGATTCAAAATGTCGTGGCGTGTTGGGTTGTAAAACCAACGCGGAAGATTTTTTCGATTACCGCGAGTGAACAAACCGGTCTTTTTTCGGAGGCAGAGTTTGGTGAGATCCATCTGATTTATAATCAATCATAAATGCATATTTCCATATATTACTAAATACGCGCCAGATTTCGAAACATCACATTTCGAAATCTGGAAGTGTGTTTGCAGTACCATTATTCATATGATAACGGTAGTGTTTACATGCGGGGCTTATTGTATGTGAAAGTGACTTCGGAATGGACGTGAATTACCAGGCATTCTGAAATGGGTTGCTGAATCTGCAGTAGAGCTATCGCTTTCTAACTCCCAGACTAAACTTGCTTTAAATTATTACATCAAGGATTGTTGTAAGCACATTTCTTCCATAACACCACTTCCGGCCAGTGGGGGTTAAATTGAATACACACACACACACACACACACAAACTCTACCAGAAGCTCAATAACAAGTGCACCAAGAAGAAGCAGAATCAGAAACCGTTAAGACTACAAGAAGGACCTGGAATTTTCATTAAACTGGGTTGCATACCCATTCCTCATGGATTGATTTCTGACGATGCTAGTAAAGTCGTTCAAGTACTCAATTACGCAATGCTAGGAAAAACGAAAATCAAATCTGGAACTGTATTGATTATCAAGAGACAAGACTGTTCATTTAAAGAAGCGCGTCATATTATCAAAATTAACGTTATATTTTCGTTATACTACTTCCAGTGATCGCTAAAGTCTACTCCACATGAACATAACTATACACACTAAACCCTGATCGGTAAAGTTTTACTGAAATATGTTTCGTTCGAAACGAAATTCCTATACAAAAAAAAAAAACTTTTTTGTATAAGAATTTCGTTTCGAACCAAATACAGGATAGGGGTGATATACAGCTGAGCGTTCGGTGAAAGCTACAGAAATTTTAGCAATGAGTTTCACAGATTTTCGATAAAGTTTCCGTCAAAGTCACTGACATACAGTTTGGCAGATAAATTTAACCGAAAACTTGTAAAATAAATAGCCGAACGTTCAATATTGGTTTACTGAACGCTCAACTGTAGATATTTCGGTAAAATTTTACCAAATTCGGTGATTTGTTTAGGTAAATATGTAATACTGATTTAAAACCTATTCAGGTTATTATTCCAATCTTATTTGATATGGTTGCACGATATATATGTATGATGCTCGGTCTAATCACTAATCCAGTTAGTAAGGTTTTACTTGGTTTTTGTATTGCAGAACTGTTCAGTAAAAATTTTGAAATATGCGGAAAATTAAAAAAAAAAATAGCATATGTATTCCTTCCTTGTACAGGCTTAGTTCGGTTAACCCCATAGGGTCCAGGTGTGGGAGCTGCCTCTCTGGCGTCGGTAGCATTGGTGCTCAGCACGGAAAACAAGATCGACGGAAAACAATCAAGGGAAAAAAATGACTCCTTAATTTGGTTCCAGCAATTCAAAAACTCAGAAAAATATTGACTCCTTAAAATAATCTAAGTGTGTAGGGGCAACCATAGGTCGCTGATTTGATTCCTGCAAATTATGGAAGTTATTGGGTCGGATAAAAAGCTTAAATATCTACATGGAATTGAATGTGAATTGTTAAAAATAATCCTAATGAGAGAAGCCATAAGGAATGACATGAACATTTACGTAGTCCAATTCTTTATTTTTTGCATAATCCTTTGCACAGTGAATAGTGAAACTTGAAGATGCTATGCATTTCGAGACCGATTTGAATACACTGGAGTCGCTTTTTACGCGGTTTTTTTCAAACGGTTTTTTATGCGGTTTTTTTTACGCGGATTTCGGAATTTACGCGGTTTTTTTTACGCGGTTTTTTACACGGTTTTTTTACGCGGTTTTTTTAACGCGGATTTCGGAATTTACGTGGTTTTTTTTTACGCGGATTCCGGAATTTACGCAGTTTTTTTACGCGGGACGTATCACCCGCGTAAAAAGCGACTCCAGTGTATAGTTATGACTCTAAATTACGACTGCAAAGTTGTTGAACAGGTACCAAAAACCTTTTTTTTGTATGGAAAATACGGTTCGAACGAAAACAAGAATATGGGTGAAAAAGTGAGGTTACGAAACACAGTGGCAACATTTATTTTTCAGTAGTGAAGATTTGCTCTGCTATATCTCGTTATCCTTATATATTTTCTTTTTATTTGTATGTAGACGGCAGGTGACATCGAGCATAAAATAGAGCAGAGATTGGACTTCATTCGAACAAAATTTGGCAACGTGAGTCTGCAACCGCAAATTGTTGCGGTAGGCGCAACAATGATGAATCCTGGAATATTTGTGATTTTCGGGGGAGCTGAGTACATAGCAGAAAACATACTACATGCTATTTGCGTATGTATGCACATTACCTATGCTCTGAATCTACAGTACGCCCCAGACTGTAAGCCGCTGTGGCTTTTTATTCAAACTTATCTGTTTAAAATTCATGCGTCAATCCTTGAACTGCCTAAAAGCCCGCGTTTTATTACAGTCTATTGAAAATTGACGATGATTTTTCTTATTTTTTTTCCTTATTCATTTATAATCTCTATTATAATATACATAAAAGAAAGTGAAATGAAACCCAAACACTGTTTTAATAGATATGACCATCATTACCGATTTAAACCCAGTAAATTGTAAATATTTTATTTAGGGATTCATGAATGGTTCGTACCATAATCATGATTCAAGTTTTCAAATCCATCAATATAGCTCATGGTTTCGAAACTGATGATTCATGATTTCGGGAATCTAGTTAAAAAACGCCTGATAGGGGAATTTACGTATTCTCGGCAACCTAAGCAGCGACCTTCTTTCTATAGCCTTTTTCTTTGAGGAACGCACACATATGCAGTATTGGTTTGTTTACAATCTTTTGCTGCCAGCTGCTCTAACAATTTCAGTCGAAAAAATTGTCAAAAACTGTTTTGAAACGCTTTTA